AACATAATTGCTTGATGGTCAGAGCGTTGACAGGCGAAATATATAATTGCGAGGAATTATTGTGTCCTTTAAGTAGTGTTAGGTTATGCATTCTGAATACAATCATTGTTTGTTGTGCCTCATAAGTCAGTTATTTGTAATAAACAATTGTTTCAATCTAGTCTGACATGAATAGACACTAATTGGAGAAGAAAATACAACGACTGTGAACGAAGAATTGTGTTTATACGTACAGATATTCGATATCGGGCTTGGTATTAGATAAAGTCTCCATTATTTCTTTGGGTTATCTCACGTTAAAACATGTTCATCCTTAAACTTATTAGGAAGTATGAAGTTTATCCTAGCTTTTCAATCACTACAAATAATAATTTTTTAATGCATTTCATCCAGCGGCTTTATTCATTTAAATTTTAATCAAATAATATATTTATTGACTTAACGTTCAATCAGAATTCAGTCAAGATTAACTTAGTCTGAATGTAGTAAAAGAAATAAACAACTACATGTAGTAGTTCAATGTAAGCTTGTTTTTCTTGAATAAAGACGTTTACAAGAAATAGATATATGGTAAATTAAAACTCTCTCATACTTATTTATACGAGATAACGATAAGTACTGTGAATCAATTGATCAATTTTAATATCAAACAGTTAAACAAGCGCTGAGAGAACAAATACATTTATGCTAAACATAGCGAAAATTGTAAATGAACTTATCAGTACCTAGCACAGGTATAAAACAAGATTTAAGGCGATAATGTATGAAGATCAAGAGAATTGATATGATGAGAGACTGGATATAGCTGAAGTTGATCCGTCTAACCAGTTAACAAACTTGGTTCTGGTCTTGAAATTTGTAGTCAAATCCGTGCTAGTATTGAACATACATTCCTATATTATGCAAGCTAATTCTAACTCATATTAAAGTAATGATACATTTTAATGGGTCGGGCACCTACATGTACCACTACTTGAAATCAGTTCTGTCCTAGTTAGTTCTATCTATATCGTATCCGCCCTGTAAGCACTCAACCGTCAAGCGACCGTACGCGGCTGATCTGAGAGCAGGGCTAAGTTACATGGGCAACAAACAACACATTTTATAGCTGAACTAAACCATAAGTACTCACAATCAACTTAAGATTTGACTTATGATATGCTAATACATCTGTTTATTCAGCCTTTTTGTATTTTAGTCTGAAAGATAAACACAATTACTTAAGTTATATCCTGGATCTGTCGTAGGTTGTGTGTCACGAAGCATTTTAGCAGTGCGCTTAACACAGTTATTAACAGAGAACCGTCTGCAGATTCACATTTAAGAATTTGTGTGCCCTTCGTCACACACAATGTTGTCCAAGCTATAAGGAATAGTTGCAATTGTTGAAATGATAATGTATATATATTAAGTGTATATCTTAGGTCTTTTCACTTTTCGCCGGTGTACATCAATAACACGCCGATATATGGTCAGCTACAACAAGTGAATGTATATATATAAACCTAAACACGTCAACATCAGCTACCACAGGTTGATCTGAGGTCAGCTACCACAAGTTTATATTAGAGATCCTTCACCACAAGCCAATATCAATTACAACGTATACAGGTCGGTAAGTTGTGAGCTAACGCACGTATATAGCAGAAATCCTTACCATGCCAACATCAAAGACCACCGACTGATAAGTAGTCAGCTACCACAAGCTTTATCAGAGATCCTAAGTACCCCAACAATGACTCGTACAAGTCAATATATTGTCAACGACCTCAAGTATAATATAGAAGATTCTTCACATGCCAACATTACCTACCGCAAACAAGCATCATCTGCTACAAGCCATAACCGTATCACGTATTATGGGATATTACTGTTGTGGTATCGCACAACCTTACACGATGTGCGGTGTGCGCACGATGTGTGAACGATGTGTGCACGAAATGCGAACGATAAAAAAATGGCCGATCATTGCTTGCGCACATTTGTGCGGACGATGGACGATTGTTGTGTGATAACAATCGTGGTTGGTGTAATTTGAGGAATGCCTTTACAATATATACGGTTTCGTGCATGTGTTTAAACACATAAACTTGATTATTTAGTATGTGTCTATATTCTAGCTACATCTATAAGCTTATCCTTCTCTCTGTACCTTCTTAAATTTAGAAATGGTGTTTTCGGTGTTTTTTAAACAACCTAAATCGACACATGTAAAATTACAACACAGTCTCGGCAATACAGCTAAACATAACCACTTTGTACCTGTATCTAGACCGTAGTTATCCTCCGCCCGGGGCACTTACGTAACTCGCCAAGGTGTGAGACCAGGTGAAGAGGAGCTATAGACCAAAACGAATGCAAATAACAAATACTTAACGTCCAGTTGTGTTTTCATAATGGTCATACGGTATCACATATCAGCTCTATGTGTCAGGCACAGGCCAGGTAAAACTCCAGTCACTCATCAAATTGTTATTTACCTGTTCTGTTACCTAGAAGCTACACCCATTCTTGACAGTCTAACGGTCACTGTAACACTGTGTAACACGCATTGTAAAATTGCACATAATCCTAATTAGTGTGATGAAAAAATACAGTAACATATACAGTATACATTATTGCATACGAGCCTTCCGTATTTTTTTTCATTCCCTAATATTGATCAACAAATTGTACCAAATCGCACAGTTGTGTGGAGAACAGCGCACAACGGGGCGAACGATTGTTAAATCGCACAGTTGTGCGCACCATGTGTGGACGATGTGCGGACGGTGTGTGAACGATGTATGCACGGTGTGCGCACGGTATTGTTGGTGCGTTGTGCGGTCACACAACTGTACCTTTTGTCGTTTCACTCTCCCTATAAATGTTTGGAATGACTGCTGTGCAATACATTATATTCTCGTTCTCAATTAATTGCTACCTGCATATTACAGTCTCATTTTAGTTGGAAAGTATTTACAGTTATATGGAAATATGTTTTTGTCCAGCTGGCTAAATTATTAAACAGAATGTGAAAACGTAAATATCTACACAGACGTGTATGCACATTACCTGTTCTAATAACCGTTCAAACGTAATGTACAAAGATAACCAAACCGGTAGAGTACTGGGTTAATAGACATTAATTATATAACACAATCTAGCGAACATAAAGCTTGTGACCTATTATTGAGTACGTGCTCCTGTACATTCCGTTGTCAACACAAAGACATTCATGTATTTATGGCCTCCTCGTACCTCAGATTCTTTTTTATCCATACCTGAATGTTATCATATAATCTCTGTTCCTATTATCTATTTAATACATTGTCCAACGATCTTTTAATGGGTATGTCTGTATATTTCGACGTTCATTGTGTTAACAAACCTCGCCAAAAGTATGAATATGTATACGCATGCTTTGATCTTGTTAACAGTTTCACGGAAAAATCTTGCTTTTGAAATAATTGGGACCTATTGTTACAAACCACTCTGTGCACTATCTTTGGATGTAACGTAAGTACATAGGCATTTTAATATAACAATGCTTCATACTGTCAAAAACAATATTTCAGTCATTGAGTTTACGTATTGTCTGCACTGCAAAATATGTTTCCCTGCCATCCCCAAATTCAAAGTTCAATCCAAATGTTCAGTTAGACCACTCGCTTTATACGGGAAAGCACTATTAAATATAGTGCCGATAACGCCACGTGACGATGTCGAACAAGACCACGGGACATTTTTATTCTTTCAAAAGAAATATTCATGAGATTGAACACTATTTACATAAAGTGCATTCATTGACAAGTTAAAATACATGTTTGTTAAATCACGAAGAAAGATTATCAAAGTCTGTAGTTCAATTTATTTTCAAAACTCTATGACTTCTGAATTTACTTTTAACCAATTCATTCAAACCATGCAGTACATGCATACTTGCTTTCCTTTTTTCATTTTGTTCATACTCTTCTTGAACCTAATAAGTAATTTGAGTCACTATACACAATAAATGTTCCTGACAAATTCAAATATGTGTACAAGACACTTGTGTCAGATATGGAACGTGTTTGTATCATATTTTTTTATGACGAAATCACTTTTTGTTTTGAAAAAAATCTATCCTCTTGTAACAGGACATTTAACTCTGTAACACAACTGCAGGCATGCGACAATTTTGAAATGGTGATGTAAATTTTTGATTTAGTCAAAGATTTTGAACCGCTCCAATTCCGGTAATGAAAATGCTTCATCACTAATGTCTGCAATTTCTGTAAATAAAAGTGGTTCCTTAATCTGACTTTTCCTGTTGTACGAAACAGACGGCACAATCCGCGGCCGCACGCGCCCTTTATACAACGTGAATAAGTTTCTTTTCCAGTTTCAATACGTCTTCTGATGCTATCTGAACTCGTAAATTAATCATAAAGTTATTTGTAGCATGGCTATACATTCTACGTCTGCATCACGTTTAAATATGAACTGTTGCATGACAAAGATCTAAAAGCAATTTGTTGCATATGAATGTGTACTGTGATCAAGTTTTGGGTCCCTCCTCCTCGGATATTATCATCCTGGACCGTGATTTTGACATTCTTAATACAACAAGACGATACCAATGAACTGGACCCGGAAATAATATAACATAATTTGTGGTACACGTCATGGTCGCACTGTACAACTATGGAATTAGATTAGACAATCGGAGTCCGGATGGTATAATAAAACAAAATTATCCCACGGAGGGACCCATCGTAAAATCAGACTACCAATAATCTAACCTTTCGCTTTCCTTCAAATCATCTTTATGAAAACATATTTTGTACGTTATCAGTTCTTTAAAACATTTGTTCCCACAATTTTTGTCAAGTTATAAGTAATATATGATGCGATACATATTTATAGTCGATTTTTGTTCATATATCGAAGATAGTATTTATAAAGTTTTGTATTCTGGTCTTTGAATTTGACATATGCCTTCAGTTTCTGAGTGCTTGCATGAGTTATGAAAAGCATTCACGGCTAAATAATTTCAAATTATTGTTTAAATGATAGGTTTCATTTTGTCTGACAGCTACTGCGTTTATAACATAGGTGTCATGACGTCTGTTTCCTCTATGGCAAATATCAGTTGGTCACATTTCCGTGAAAACTTACCAATGTTTTAAGTCAGTGCGACATAAATGTGTATTTTGAATCTAGTCTCATTAGTTGCCCCTGTTAAATAGCGACTATATTTATAATAAAACTATCTAATGCTAACCTTACGGTATGTTCTTACAGTGTGCATGTTCATTAAATGTATTTTACTTTGTACAGATGGCCACACATGACAGTTGGTTTCCAGCCTCAAATCAAGGTAAACACCAGAAAAAAAGTATTTATCCACAATGTGTGTGAAAAGAGATTGATTGACATTGAACATTTGCATATTGCTTAGTAGTCCGAATTATTCTGACGTTTTATCGACTTTTTTTTTTATATCGGTCTGTAGTCTATTAACGTCAGAACTCCGGCCGTCTATAATATGCGGGAAATGAGCGACCCGCGCCCGGGTCGCACTTCAAACTATTTTATTTTAGAAACAAATCATTTCACAGACATGTCGCACATGGATCGAAATATCTATTCTTTATGCACAAGATAAACATAAATTACATGCCTCAAACAACCAATACAATCACTAAAAACTAGCCGGCCTACGTTATAACGTTGGGAAATACCTTCGGTAACGCGAGATCTCGTCAAGTCATGTGACATTGCTCATGCCCTAATTTCCTTTAAAAATATTGGTTGGTATAGAAAACGTTGGAAAATACTGTTATTGATACCACCTAGTGCATAAAGAAAAGATCTTTCGATCCATCTGCGACATGTGTGTGAAAGTGACGATTTGTTTCTAAAATATCAGTTTGAAGTGCGTCCCGTGCGCGGGTCGCTATTTCCCGCATATTATAGAGGGCCGGAGTTCTGACGTTAATCGACGACAGACCGATATAAAAAAAGTCGATAAAACGTCTGAATAATTCGGAGTAATTGCGTAGGTATGGATTAGTTTATTGATTAAATTTGTCAATTATTCTCATTTTCCGACCATTCCTTGTAAATCAGAATGATTGATTTTGATTGAGTTATCATTTTGTAAGTACTTATCATGAAAGCTATCAATGATTCCACAAAGTCTCGAGAAGTATTAAATAAAACATGCCTTTCATGAGACAGTAGTTCAATCGGCTGTTGTATTGGAATGCATTGTATCACCCCTGCAGGTCGGAGATAGAAAAAAATAATATACCTGCTGATACCCACTGTATGTATCGTAAGAGGCGACTTATGTTGGGACCCCTGCAGAATTGAGCATTTGATATCGTGCCCTCTACTACAAAAGCGACCAAAATAAATTGCTTCAACAATAGCAATAGTTGGGATCTTTATATTTCTCTCTTCTTATTATTACCTTTATTTCCTAACGCCTTGCTTGGCAATACCTCACTTTTGGCTTAAATGTTGAACGTTCGCCCACCATCGCCCCTGTGAGGAAGGCAGGGGGTCTGTCCCCAGGCCGGGACATACCAAAGTGATTAAAAATGGTAGTTGTTATTCCCTGCTTAACGTTCAGCATTAAGGGGAAAGGCAACAACTGATTCACCTGTTGTCATTATAATGTGACCGGGCTAAATGCTGTGCTTGGTGCCTTCGGCATGGTATTTCAGTGAGATAATGCTATAAAGTCGGCATCAGATCCTTGATTTCACTAAGAGGCAAGTGCACCAATACACCCCGTTAAAATAATAAAACCAAACCAAACTATTGTGGTTATATAAAAGGACATCATAAGATGAATGAAGATAAATAAATAAACTTAAACAGGCAATATCAAACCGACACATGGAATTTTTAATCAATAAAAAATCATAAAAAATAACTTCTATACTTCCGTTAGTTGGTGCCCATCCCCGTCTTTTCCGGGAGCTACGTCACCCCAACACATGTTCCTATGTTCTGCCGAGCCCCATAGACCAAAATGAACGGTATTATAAAACCAGAAAACTCTCTGCTTAGTTGTCAGGTGTGTTTGAACCTAGTTGACCAGAATTCCACCGCATTACTATTTTAGTGTCATTTATTGGATCACTAACGTTTCATTAGCGTTTCAACTGACGCTGGTTACTTTTTATAACCTACCGCACTTGGGCAGACATCAGGCTACTAACAATTGTATGACCGTAGTTGTTAAGACGTAATTGCCAATCGTAAACTGGTTGGTTCATATTCAGAACCATCTGTTTTCCTGATACTAATAAAAAAATCTACAAAGCAAAGGGCACAGTTCAATTACTTGGATATTGTCGATTTGTCTACTTTCATTGACTTCAGGCAACTTGAAAAATTGATAAAAAAGTTTCAGATCGTAGAGTGTTTTTGCTAGATTGGTTGAGGATAAAGTCCCTCACTTCATCTTCAGTTACGGTAAGAAATCTGCTTGTTTCGGGATCGTTAGCCCCAGGCCCAGCATCTAAGTTTGTCGTCTGCTCCGGTTGCTGTTCTGACCGGGTCTGTGTAACAGTGACCTTCTCAATAAGATTTTGTTCAAGTTCAACTTTAAAATCAATTCCAGAAACTTCTACACTATAAATGTTGCAAAACCTCTGCAATATCCTTTACAGAACCTGTTCTTTTGTTGTCGATTGTAACCGTGTAATCTAGTCAGCGTTAATAAAGGAGGGCCTGTAGTGGCGCAGGAATATGTTCACAGGGTCTTGACAAATCAAAGCACCTTTAGGTCGTATTACATGTGTGTAATACCATATTTATGACATGGCCGTATGACATAATAAAATACCAGTCCCACTACATCTTCAAAATGTTATGTCCCCCGTCGATGTGTAAATGTGTATAATTTCACTTCTTTTTATTGCAGATGCATATGAGCAATTGCGAATTGTTTTGATCGGGAAAACTAGAACAGGCAAAAGTGCCACCGGGAACACGTTGATTGGTGAGGATATCTTTGAATCTAAAGCAAGTCCCAACTCTGTTACCACGCAATGCAAGGTTGAAACGAAAGAAAGATTTGGCAAAAAGATTGAGGTCGTCGACACTCCAGAACTTTTGGATACCAATATGCCATCAGACGAACTTGTGAAACAGCTCGTATCCTGTACCCGTCTAGCTTGTCCGGGGGTCCACGCTTTCGTCATGTTGTTTCGTATAGGAGATAGGTACAGTGATGAAGACCAAAAGGTTATTGAGTCAATACAATATATCTTTTGCAGAAAAGTTCTAAATCATACCGTTGTCGTTTTTACAGGAAAAGATCGACTTGAGAGAGATGGACAAACATTAAACAAGTATATATCTCAGCTGCCAAAAGTATTGAGAGATACGATAGCTTCCTGTAAAGGGGATCATGTTGCCATATCCAACATTGGTAGTCGTGATGAAAGGGAAGAGGCGGCCAAAACGATTATAAGAATGGTTGAAGCAAATGTTAACCGAAATGGAGGAGACAGCCGGTATTACAAGACCCCATTGTTTGATGCATTATCTAAGAGTATCGGGGAAAAGGTAGGCCAAATTCTGGATCGAAACGATGGAATCGAGGATAAAATCAGTCAGATTAAGGAAGAGATGAAACCCTTAACAGGAAAAGACGAACACATCAAAAGACAGCGTGAAAAACTTCAGAAAATCATTGACTTTCTTCAAATGATTATCTACAGAGAAAATCCAGACAAGAGTGTTTGGAAAAGAATGCGCAACTGGTTTATACCAATTGCAGGATTAGTGTTGGTCATTGCACTTTTATTGCCGTTTCTGCAAAAACAGTACGACAAAATATCAAATAAACAAAGGTTTTAAAATCCTTGATGTAAAATCTCTCGGCACACTCAACGTTTGAATGGTAGGAGTTTGACCTGTTAACCAGAGCTTGTGCCGGCATGCAACTTTTAAACTTAATTATTACTGATAACCAGTTTGCTTTATGTTTTTTCTGACTTAAAGAAGTATTGACAAATACCACATTTTCAAAACTTTTATGCAAATGTATTTGATATGTTTTTGAGTGTTTCTAAGATACAATTGACACATAGTAGCATTTTTCGATTATTAGGTAATGTTATGCGTCTATTTTAAAATCATTTCAACCGTATTATTTGCAGATTATATGGAATAGTTCACCTTTTGAATCTTTATTTATTAAGAGAAATAAAAAATAAAAAAAATATTATGATTTGAAAACATTTCAAAAAGTGCAACATGATAAATAAGTATATATATATATTCAAATTAACAAATTACAACATTAATATTTTGAGCATGAACGATAGATTTTTTTTTGGGATATCATTAATTTGTTTGCATCTTTTCTGATCAATAAAAGCTGTCAACTGATTTTGCGTTCTCGTCTTTACATATCACTATTAACTATTAAGACCTTGGCTCATATTCATAAAAAACTTAAGTTTTTACTCAACTTTTACTGAAGTTTTAATTAAGTACATATATTTTACTTAGTTAAATATAACTTAAGAATTTTTTTAAGTACTATTCATAAACGACTTATGTATTGACTTAGTGAATACTTAGATATGACAGGACAGTGCGAGAAGTAAGCAGGTAAAGTACAATACACATGATTGTAACCGATCCTTGACGGGTTTATCAAAACTTTCCTTGCAAACTTCATATGAGTCAATCATTGAAAGAATAAACAACTAGCGACATGACAGCGTGTGTCGTTAACTTGCTATGCATTTCTGACCTTCATAGCTGTTTCACTTTAAACTGCTGCTCAGTAGGCCTATCTGTAAAACCCGCTCCGAAATCACATTACTGTACACAAACAAACACGCCTGCTTGTAGACTATGAATAGAAGCGGATTTCTGTCACGTCACCAGCGCTGGCCAATGAAATGACACCACCCAAATAGCGAACACAAAGGGGTATATCTAAATGTTCAGACAAACACTTATCAAGCAATTGCAATAGGTGTGTTTCTAGTTCACTACATGCAACTGTCCGTAATTTTCATTCCTGGACCAAAAGTGTAAATATAGCGGTAGTTCCTCACTCACATGATTTATCAATGAAGTTAAACTTAGTGCCATGGGCTTGTAAAAATAAAGTCAAGATATAGCACAGCTACTTGTTGTAATATGGTATTACCAATCAATATATATAGAGAGATATAGTGAGAAACATAGGGTGTAGACAAATTGGTGTAAACTAGTTTTAAACGTGTATAATATTATATATACCCCCTCCCCCGACTTCCCCCCGTCACCACCACCATCTCCACAGCCAACGCCTTGACATTGAATGTAAAAGAATATATGGAGCTATAACTGAATCTTATATTGGTTAAAGTTTTTACCCATCAAATAAGCGTATGTTCGATCTGCGAGAAGCACCATTTATTTCAGACTCTTCATAATCATAAATCATTAACAGATAAACCAACCTTGTTATACAGATTGACATTTTATTTATGGTTTGGCGTTATTTGGGTCACGGCTTATAAATTGATGCTTTGGTTCAATTTGGCTGGTTACCGGTAACTAGGGCAACCAACAGATAATTCCACAAAATTCAATACCAGATATTTCTCTATCAGGTAGCTCAATTAGCTTACTCACGATTCCACAACTCCAGGTAAGGTAAGCGCCCCCTACTAGCGTGGCCATGGGAGATAACTTGCAGATAGATGCTACTTGCAGGAAGTAGACAAAGGGAAGTAACTTTTACACAGTATGAACAAAAATAGCGCCTAAATGCGTGAAATAAAGCACATTTATGATGTACGTTGACATGCATAAATGAAGGTAATACCGAATGCATTCATTCGGTATCTTTCATCAAATCACTTTCCTGGTAGTGGGTCTTTTACTCTCTTGCATGGTCGATTTTGTGTAGCCATTTTCTTGGGATAAGTATTTAAATGTTTACTTGAGCATTTAAGAATAAGCTAAACATTCTCATGAGGTTACTTAACTTTAAGTAGAAATTTAAGTAAAACTTAAGCAGAAGTACCTTTATGAATACAACTTCAGAAAACATCTTAAGTTATGTGAATACTTAAATAAATTTCAGTACTTAATTACAAAATTCTGACTAAAGTATTTACATAAGTAAAATACTTTACTTAGATTTTCTTATAAGTATGTGCCCAGGACACATTTCCTATCATGGTTGTTTACTCAAATTGGTTTCAAGAAAATCAATTTCTTTAATCATTTATAAACGTAACTCACCAGAATGAAAAGATCTTATCGTGTCTAAGTCTTACTATGGAAGATTTATGGTCTTTAGAAGTCGTACAGCCTAATCCAGACCCTTATACAGTTGCGAGCAAACTTAACTTTGTAGCCTAGTGCACTGGGGTTAAAACGAAAAGTTGTGCACTGGAGATACATGTAACACATGAATAAACTTGACTTCACATAGATGTACACTAGAGTTCACATCAAGTGATGCGCACTGGAGTTCACATCTATGTCAGTGCAAAGGGGCATTTTCTTCATCCAATTATAATTACATTCTTGAAGTTTGTTCTGTACATGAATTTGCAACTGAAAACAAACAACTGCCATTAGAATATGAATACACTATGAATACAACGATTCTCGTGCAACCAGTCAGCTGATCTCATACACAATGACCACTTCATATTACTACGCTAAGTACCGTTTCTTAGAATAGCTATCTCCCCTTCTCCAAAATAACGTAGTTGCGTGAAATGATAATAAACATTACAAAAATCATGAACGGTGCATCATTGTACTATTATTATTATTCTTTCTAATTTAAAACTAAAAAAATACTTATAACATTTTCATATATTAAATACTTACTACCGACTCGCAATCAGTTCCTCGTTGTCACGAACTTTCTAACACCCAAACGTCCGGCTAGGTAATCCCCGTGACATCAACTTGCACTTTGAGTTCAGAGAACTTTGTAATGACACAGGGCACTTCATCCACCAACTTATCATCATTTACATCTGCATTTTGTTTATGTCTTTTTGGTAAGAAGTACATTCAACTGCTGTATATTTAACTGCAAATGAGCTCTAAGCCTACTGCCGACGGGTGTTCGGCCGACGATTGCCCTGGATGGTTACTACGGTGACCGATGATTTGAAATATATAATATGCAGTGTTGAATGCGAAAATAAGAATGAAAGAATGAAAGGAATATCAAGTGTTAGTTATTATTAAATTCTGGATATATATTCGTTTCAACAAAATCAACTGATCTGCGGAGGTCGAACATTTGAAGGTTGTGTGTAGGCTGGGGTTCTGTCTGTTCTTTTTTTTACAGTTTTCTGACCGATACTAATTAGTCTAATATTAAAAATATTAAATCTTCAAAAAGTGTTGTAACTGTTTTTATTGTAGTTCATCGTAACGTAAATATATGAATTGAATGGATTCAATCCCTTTGTGTCTGGCCCTTTGTCAATGTATACATACTATGATCTTCTCCCGTCCTGACTGCTAAATAAATAAAATATTAGATGTTACCTTTTCATAGACTTAGAATGATTTAAGCAGTTTCCTTTAATGAAAATAGCATAATAACTATAAAGCGTGATTGCCGATTGAAACCATGTTGTATGTATGTACAGATATCGATGGTTTAAAGTTTATAATACTTTGTCTTTAGATTCATTAGTTTATGCTAGTGAATCATAAGTCTTTTTTCTGTGTAAAAATGGAAGGCATGCATTGTGAATAAGAAAAAAATACTATGTACTAAATATGTGTATGGTCTCATTCATGATGAGTAACGTATACACACAATCTGCAGAACTTAAATATACTTGTCTACCATGAAAATCCTTGTTTCTGGTAAGAAAATAAACATGTCTACCATGAAAATACAATCTCAGAATAAACTTGAAAGATGTCTTAAAAAAATCAGATTAAATTTTAGTTGCTTTATGCATAAAGAATACCATAATCATAGGAGAAACACCGAAAACTGTGAAATAGTCAAGATAATGGATAGTTCGAGGCCCGTTGATACGAATCGTATTTAAACAGACGTAAATACGATATCGGGTTTGCTGTTATATAGTCTCAATTATTATTTTGTCCTTCAAATGTAAACAAACAGTTAGGTCCTCTGATTACCGGGTGAAAAATTGTTACGTCTGCATAACTGTTATCAGATATCCTACTCTGAAGTACCTCGTCGATCAGCTGTTCGACTATTTATAATCCTAGTAACGTATTGTAAGAAAACCACCGATCGCTAATGAATTTCAATCATCTTCACTTTTCAAACATTTATTGTACTACTTGTGATTGCTTGCATCAACTGCACCCACTTTGAATTTGCAATGCTCCATTGGTATCTGTTACATTTATCTAGTGTCTGAATACTATCAACGGATAAATGGTTATTCTACAGTTTCAGTCTGGTTTTGACATTTCTATATGAATTCCAGTTCACATCCATGTTAGAGAATAGCTTACTGCTTTATACATACTCGGAGAAGTTAATTTGGACAGATTTCTTTTCCAACATTAACGGAAATCTGGAAGCTTGACAGAATACGATAAAATCCGTGGTAACACAACCATTAAATTATCGTAAACTAGATCAATAGTATAATCTCGCCTTTAATATATCTCTTGATCTTTCTTCCTTAATTCCCGATTTCCGCCCAATACAATGTCTGTAGCCGTTGCCAGGTTCACATTTGCCAGTGATGATTTGTATAAACAATCAATTTACGATCGTTCTTTTATGTTTTCAAAAAATAAATAAAATATTATGGTCAATAATATGGTGGTGGTGGTGGTGGTGGTGGGGGGGGGGGGATAAGGAAGGCTGTATTAGCCTTACACAGTGAAAAATATACGAATATCAAAGTGCAAGATCAATTCATCTTTTAAATTAGAAAGTATACAAGTTATGGTGAATGAGAATTTATATTGGAATTGCGCTGAAAAATATTTCAAATTTTAACCGTAGTATGTGTGCCTCTATATCCACATAGAATTTGATTAAAATCGTTTTTTTCGTTTTTAATATTTGCGCAAATTTAATCGAAAATGGAGGACAGACGATCAAACAATGCTATAACTTTAAATGGTACCGAATATTCTCTGAATATGGGGCTCCAATTACTTTACCTAATCAGATAAAGATTATGACGGTAGACGGGTACACAGTAAATATTTACTGTTCCCTAATCAATATTGTTAAAAGAAGATGATAAACGACATTTTCTCAACAGTGGTATGAACATTATATCG